ATGGAAGAAGTTGGAAGAGATTATAACTGGGGTGGGAGGGGTCTTTGAGTTGGCTGCCTTTCCGAGGCAGTGAAAAGTATAGACGGAGTCAATGAATGGAAGGTTGGCTTGCTTGATGGACTGGGCTGTGTTCACAACTCACAAACAACATTCGTTTGAACATTATCTGTGTGTGCTCTATCTTTTCCTGTCACACACTGTTTACTATTTCCCCACATTACTACCGTGCACAATTGTCCTCTTTCTTCAATTTTCCAAATCTCTCTTCATGTGAACCAAGCGCAGGAAGGCAGTCCAGAATGCTTTAGCTACTATTCTGGGGTTTGAGTTCAAATCCTAACATAGTAGATGGTGTAATTTGAGTTCAGTTAGAAAAATCTGGGGGAAAAAAAAGCAAAGCCTAATCGCCACCATGTAACCACTGTTGATTGTCCTAAAAACCATCTGGTTCACTAATGCCCTTTAAGGAGGGAAACCTGCCATCCTTACCTCATCTGGTCATCACGGGATTCCAGACCTACTGCAATGTGGTTGACTCTTAACTGCTCACTGGGCAATTAAGGATGGGCAAGAAATGCCTGTTTGTTTAGCCGGCAAAACCCACATACCATGAACAAATTAGAAAATAATACTTAGAAATGGCTCCTTCATTTAAACTCTGTACAGTTGAGGGAAGCAACATCTCAGCATCTGCACTGTGCTAAACCCATCAGAATATAAGCTTCAATGAAATCACCTTTCATTCTTCTAAATCCTGAAGAATGCAGACTCATTCTACTTAATTATGTATCTCACGAACCTTCCTCTATGGAAATATGGACACAGTACTCTAGGCTCGATCTAACCAAACTCTGATACAATAGAAGCAAGACCTCTATCCTGTACTCTATTCCTCTTGCAAGATGGGCTAGCACACTATTAAGCCTCCTAATAGCTTGCCGCACCTGCGTGTCCATTTTCAGTGACTTATCCAGACAGACACCAAGGGGTCCTTTAGACATCTACACTTTCTAGCCTCTTACTAATTAAGAGATAGTCCGCACATCTGTTTCTCCTACCAAAGTGAATAACCTCACATTTTTCCACATTATGTTCCATCTGCCATGACATCAGCGACCAAAGATTTTGTTGCATTAATTGTCCCTCCATGTCGAGCAAATTACAACAAACTGCTGGGCATTGGTTTTGAGTGTAGGAGCTCAAGGTAGAGGCAGAGTAGGATCTTCCATACACCACTTGTACAGTTTGAGACCATTTCAGCCTGTCTCATACAAAAAGGTTAGCGTCACCAAGTTTGAGCTGGAAAGTGTTCATACTGTTTTTATTGTTCCTGCTTCACATTCATCACCATTCTCAAATGAACATGGTGGAGTCAGTGTTTTATGAGACTACTTAGCTCTGTTTATAGCGTCTTGATTTTGGTGTTCATCAAGCAGACAGCACTTTGTCTCACTTATCCTTTAAGGCTCCAAAACGCAATTGTTTTAAACAGTTTAGTCCCAAAATCGATCGGATAGAATTGCATTTTTGGGGAATGTTTCTCAGAGGACTAACGTCTGCACATAAATTTATAACTGCTCCTCGAGAACAGAAACAAATCAGAAAATGATTTCCTTTACCATTATTTAAATAAAACTACTTATCATCAATAGATTACTCAACAAATCAGCTATTATTTGCTGCTGTGGCATGTCCAGATGTATGCCAAAATAATGTGCAAATGGAATGGACACACTATATATAGAAACATTGAAACATAGGAGGAGGAGGCCGCCATTTGGCCCTTCAAGCCTGCTCCACCATTCATCATGATAGGGCTGATTGTCCAAGTTAATAGCCCAATCCTGCTTTCTCCCCATTAACTTTGATCCCATTCGCCCCAAGTGCTATATCTAGTTGCCTCTTGAATACATTCAATGTTTTGGTATCAATTGCTTCCTGCATTAATGAATTCCACAGGCTCACCAATCTTTAGGTGAAGAAATGTCTCCTCATCTCCGACCTAAATGGTCTACCCCAAATCCTCAGACTGTGACCCCTGGTTCTGGACACACCCACCATCGGGAACATCCTCCCTGCATCTACCTTGTCTAGTCCTGTTAGAATTTTGTAAGTCTCCATGAGATTCCAACCCCCCTCATTCATCTAAACTGCAGCGAAAACAATCCCAACCTAGTCAATATCTCCTCATACGTCAGTCCCGCCATCCCTGGAATCAACCTGGTAAACCTTCGCTGCACTCCCTCGAGAGCAACAGCATCCTTCATCAGGAAAGGAGACCAAAACTGCACACAGTATTATAGGTGTGGCCTGACCAAGGCCCTGTATGACTGCAACAACACATCCCTACTCCTGTAATCGCAATGAAGGCCAACATACCATTTGCATTCTTTACTTCCTGCTGCATCTGCATGCTTACCTTCAGCGGCTGGTGCACAAGGACACCCAGGTCCTGCTGCACGCTCCCCTCTCCCAATTTACAGCCATTCAGGTAGGAAATTGGCCTTCTTGTTTCTGCTTCCAAAGTGAATAACCCCACATTTATCCAAATTATACTGCATCTGCCATTGATTTGCCCCTCACCCAACCTGTCCAGATCACGCTGAAGGAACTCCGCATCCTTGTCACAGTTCACCCTCCCACCCAACTTGGTATCATCTGCAAACCTGGAGATGTTACATTTTGTTTCCCTCATCCAAATCGTTAATATATACTGCGAATAGCTGGGGTCCCAGCACCGATCCTTGTGGCACCCCACTAGTTACTGCCTGTCAATTTGAAAATAACCCATTAATTCCTAGTTTTAACCTTGTACATTAATCTCCTATGTAGGACTTTGTTAAATGTTTTCTGGAAGTCTAAACATACCACATCGACTGCCCCCGCACCCCCCACCGTCAACTCTACTAGTTACATCTTCATAGAATTCCAACAGATTTGTCGAGCATGATTTCCCATTCATGAATCCATGCTGAATCTATCTGATTCTGCCACTGCGTAATACTTTCCATATATGAGCTGATCTCCCATGGCACTACCCATGTAGTCAAGTCTGAGATTACTCAGTCATTACCTTACACATAATTCACTATATTTTGTCTAAAGCTAACACTGCACACAATACCGGTGAACCTCCTACGATGTCTTGCAAACTCAAGTATCATAGCATCGTGGTGGCTCAGTGGTTAGCATAGCTGCCTCACAGCATCAGGGGTCCAAGGTCGATTCCATTCTCAAGCGAGTGTCCATGAGCAGTTTGCACATTCTCCCCGTGACTGCATGGGTTTCCTCCAGGTTCCTCCCAAAGTCCAAAGATGTGCAGGTTAGGGTAGATTGGTCATGCTAAATTGCATGTAGTGTCCAGGGATGTACAGTCGAGATGCATTCGCCATAGGGAAAGGCAGGGTTACAGGGATAGGGTAGGACAGTTGGTCTGGGAGGGAGGGTCTTCGATGGGTCAGTATGGACTTGATGGGCCAAATGGCCTGCTTCCACACTGAGGGTTCTATGGTTCTACAATCAACAAATGCACAAGTACAAGCATTCTAAAATGATATAAATTATAAAGGATCAAATCTGACTCAGCAAAACAAAAATGTTTATATGAACAGTTAAATATGGAAATAATTTACAAAACATCACAGGAAAACACAAAAATGGTCATGTGATTAAGAAATATTAAAATTATTCAAGTCCTTTGCAATACATTTGAATGAATTTAAAACTGTATTTATGACAGATGAATTGTCATAATTGAAAATTTGAACTGATGACTAAATAAATAGTTATAAAATGACTGACAGTTTATGGGAAAACTGTTGAGAAAGACCAAACATATGCCAGTGCACACTCAACACAGAATTTAATAAGAGGTAGCAGATGGTTTAAAAGAGGGGGAAGGAGGCATGAAGCATGGAAAATGGCCTCCTCCAGTTGACATTTCAGAGGCAGTGTTCATTCACTGTTGGACAGGCATACACGCACACAGAATCCATATTTATATCTGCAATCGGAGCGTCCATTGATGTACATGAGGTTTATCTCTCTGGTATCCTACACAATTTACTGCTGAATCTTATAATGCTAACTGCTCTGCACACTTCTGTTACCTTCCACTTCCAGAGCAGCAAGTGTTATCATTCTTGTTTTATATCCATTAGGCTCCACAACAAAATTTCCATTTTTTTTAAAATTCCACAACAGCACCTAGGTTTGACCTTCAATTCCCATGCTGCTAAAACTTCATTGTTAACAAGTCAAAGAAACTGAAACCACATCCGAAGTGAATGTCCAATATAGTTAAGTTACACTGTGTTTTTGACTGATCATACGGAAATAAAAAGGGCAAGAAAGAGAACTCGACAATGCATCATTTCAGAAAATCTATTGATCTACTGGACACTGACTGCTGGTCAATTCAGTACATAAGTATACGTCTTCATTGTTTCGATTTGCTCCAAAAGTAAGTGATATCCGCATCCACTCTTCAGGAAAAAAACTATTTATCTAAATGAGCTGGTTGACCTGTTGCATAAGGCTGTCATTCCCACCAAAGGTGCAGAAAGCACAGGGGTTCATTTTGGATGAAAGCTCATCAACTCAAAAGGTCTGTTTTGATTATTATTTGGTCCAGCTTTGATATTTGGGGCCTTCCAGAAAAGGAAAGCAAAGGACCCAACATCAAAAAAGGTCAACCTAAATACTTCAGTCACCTTCCACCAATACATTAAAATCTTTCATAAAAAGATGGATGAAGTGAGGGACAGATTTTGGAATCTGTGCTACATTTTCCAAGGCATAAATATGTGGCAAATAACTGGTTCCAAGTCTTGGTCATGCCCCATATCTACTTGGTAAGCAATGCACAAAAGCAGGAACGTATTCCTACCAGCCAACCCTTTATCAACCTTGTGAACACGAACCTTGGTTTGACCAGACACTTTACACTTAAATCAATTTTAACTAATGGGAACTCTTCCAATATTAATTTGTTGCTTTACCTTTTCTTCTGATGAGATTGTGAGCATGTCACTGGCTATCAGACTGCATACTTGATCTATACCAAGGTTGAGGAATTCCTCTCCCAGCACAACCTCTGAGAAATGCTGTTCTGTTCAAAGAAAAAAGTTTTCCACAAATTACTTTGATTTCAAAACCACTGTAGCTTAGCACAAGAACTAACTCAAGATACTCAAATAATTGCATAGAATCCAAGAAACTCAAAAGCAGGCTATATAAACAGAAAGTGTTGAAAATATGCAGCAAGTTAAATAGTATCTGTAGAGAGAAATTGAGTTAGTGAGAACAACAATCTATTGTCAGAACATTTCAGCAATTACTTACTTCAGCAAAAGAAACATTTTTACTGTGACAGTTCTGGCTGTGAAGAGGTGCAAAGATATTGTCACAATTTTACTTCAAAACTAAAGTTACAAAATCCTTAGAGGAATACATGGGTTGTAGTTTCTTCACTATTTTATTTAGGTAAATAAGGCACAGCTAACATACACCTTGTGCTACAGTATTTTCCAAGCAAAAATACTGCATTAAATCCTAACTGTCTTATTTAAGTTACAACATAATTTTGGTCTCTTCTTTCATAAGGACAAAGTTGGGTGCCAAATGGCATGACACACTATTTCTCCAGCCATTTCTAGTTTTGCCTCCATATAGCACAAACAATGTAATCAGGTGATAACCATGGATAGAGGTTGGTATACTGGTTGTTATAGCATTTCATTTATGGTTCTCTTAAAGTGTTTTCTCAACCACTTTGTTTGTGACATCAATCCTGCGAGGTTATCGTTAAAAGCCAAGCTTTAAGAGGTGCAACAATCCATTGGAGGTTGCCTGGAGAGGACTCAAACCTGATTTTGATCTTGATCTCTAACATTTTTAAAAAGATCATTCAATTTGAGGCTTCTTGAGCTAAAAGCATGGTACATTAAGTTGCACTCTTGCACAATTCATATGATGATAACAAAGTTCAATCAAAACCCCACCTGGTATTCCAATTACACATGGATCTTACAATTTAAATAACCAACTCTGTACTGGCATTAGGTCAGGGTTAGAATATACATTTATGTATATTCTCTGTCTTCTACCATTATCTTGAGTTTTTCTAAGTGCCCACTCATAACTTCCTTCATGATCAACTCTAACACCTACCCACAACAAACGTGAGGCTAAGTGGCCTATAGTTTCCGGTTTTTTCTCCCTTGACGAGAAGGACAATGCAACCCTTCCAAGTAGTTTAAAGACTTCCTAGCCTGATGGAACCTTTCCAAAAACTAATGAATTTTGAAAAATTAACACCAACGCATCTACTACCTCATTAGCTAGCTCTTTTAAGACTGAGGATGAAGTCCATCGGGATCCAGAAACTTATGAAAACACAGGTTCATCAGTTTGCTCAATTCTGCTTTCCGAGTGATTATAACTTCACCAGACTACATGATTCTTCCAACTTCATAACTTACAGGTATTATTGAAGTGTGAGCAGAAGTTAAAACTTGCCTAACAATGACCCAACTATTCCTTCTCTCTGCTTCCTGTTAGCTAACCAATCCTCTATCCTTAACAACATAAAAGCAGAAAGTGCTGGAAAAACTCAGATCTAGCAGCATCTGTGGGGAGAAAAACAGAAGAATCAAGGGCAATGAATTTTCTTTTGAATACACTTTTGAAGAAGAGTCATTGCACTTGAAACTTTAACTTAAACATAATCAATCTCTCTTTAAAACCTTACAATGCATCAACAAGCCTTTAGGTCTAACAGTTTCCCCAATACCTATTCCCTGGTGATGGTGATGGTTCAAGTTCCTCCCTGCCCTCACCTCACTTCATGATTTTTAAGTATCTTTGGGAAGGTTTCTTAGTTGCCTATAGAGAAGGCAGACAAAAAATACCTACTCAACATCACCATAATTTCTTTGTTTACTATCAGTTATCACCAGATTCACCCTCTAGAAGACCAACACTCATTTCAGCTATTCTTTTCCTGTTCAAATACATGTAGAAACTCTTATTGTGTTTTTTAAAGCTAGCTTTTTCTCCTTCAATTTCCCCTTCAACACTTTTTTTAAAAAATGGAAGTGTTTCTTTGCTGATGCTTAACATCTTTTGACCTACCACCAATGTTTGCAGAACTGACCAGTGTCTCTTTCAATTTGATACTATTCTTAAGCTTCCTAATTTAACCATGGATGACTCATCCTTCGTAAAAAAAAACTCTTTTTCATTTGGTCAGACCTTTGGAAAGAGTTATTGACTATCTCCTTAAAGGAATGCCTCTCCAGGTCTACTGTTCTTACCTTTAAATCCAGTTTCCCAGCTCACTTCAGCTAATTTCACCATCATTTCATTATAACAGTTTTGTCTAGGTTTACCTTTTCCTAGCTTCCTGTCATTCCAAAATATAAAATAACTCTTCAATTATCAAGTATTAGCCAATGGTCACCTTGTGATCATGTCTCTGTAACATTAGGATATATGTATTTAGTTCTGTGCCAACAATTCATCCAATTTGTTATCAATGTTGTGCATTCAGATGCAGAGCCTTTAACTCCATCATTTTTGCAATCCCTGGCTTTATCAGCTGATTCACTTAAGCTTTTACACTGTCCCATTCAGCCACACTTTGGCTAGTAATACCCATTGCTACCCTGCTCTATTACGTTGATGTTCCTCGTTAATTTACCATATCTCCTCTCACATGAATGTTTCCCTCTACAATTCAAAGCCCTCTCTCTAATTTAATTACACAATTCACAAGAACACTGGTCCGCATACAGTTCAGGTAAAGAGCAGCCCAACAGTACAGCTTACACACTCTGTAAAAGAACTGGTTCCACTGCCATGAATTGAAACTTATTTCCCTCACACCAGTCTCTGAGCCATACTAATCTCTAATCTTATTTAGCCAATGTCAAATTGCTTGTGGCTCAGGTAATAATCCAGAGATTGAATCCCCAAGCTTGCTCCCCAAGCAAAACATCTTTCCTATTCCAATGTACATCATCGGTATCTATGTGGACCCTACTGGAACTCTTCCCCCTCTCACTGCAAATTGCATTCCATCCCCAAGCAGATGTTCTAAACCCTGGCGCTGGGCTGGTATCCAAGCAGCCTGAACTCTTACTCTCCGTTGCAGAGAACTGTGTTAATTCCTTGTGCTAGCACTGCTTATTAAATTTGTGTTCAAAATTGTGAATCAACTTATCTTAATTATTTTCTAATTACTGAATGAGGAGGGAGTGATTTTGTTTATTGCTGATTCAATTGAAGCACAAATTTTCACTGGATCGCTTATCACCAGGCCACATCTTACTACCCAATCTGACAGACATCTCACTTGAAATGCTGCGTAGCAAAATCTCTCTCAAATTTTCTAAAGCATTTAATAATGTACATGGCAAGCAATTAAAATTCTGATTCACCTCAGATAGCTCCTCGAAGCCTAACACGGATAAAAACGTGCCGGTACATCTCGCTAAGGTCACGATTCAATTGGGAGGAGTGCGCCAATAATTGAGGCCCCCCTATTCCTCATGCCCAGCACAACGTGTCACTTCCCAATTGCACTACCAAGATCATCAATTTGCCTGAATGCTATTCAGGACAAAAGTAATTCACACCATTTTCATAATTGACAGAAAAATAACTTTTCACTGTAAACGGTGAACAAAAAAATGAATCACAACCATGCAAACCCCAAACACACACAAGCTCTCACAAATAAGGCAGACAAAAGTAACTCAAAAGATTGTGTAGGAAAACATGGACAGGGAAAGACAAATTCTGCATTTCAAGAGTCCAGGCCTTGAAACATGGAACGAGTTGTTTCTCAAAGTTTCTTAAGGCTTAAGTGATTGTTACGACTCACTGGAGTAGTGTGCTCAAGTCAAGCCCTGCTACTCTCGGAGTTGTCAAAAAGTCAAAGATTTTAAAAAGTATGCAAAATTCCTCAATTTAACAGGCTTTTAGACCCAGATTCATAGAAAGCACAGACCAGGTTTCTGCATTTAACAAGGGTCACTATTTATTACAAGTGATTAGACTCTAGCTACAGGCAAATAATTATGAACTGTTGGCATATAACTCCATAAATTAAAACTCTAATCCTTTTTGAACTCCCTCTTACAAGTGTGCGCACGCGCGCACACACACAAAGCAGTTCAGTGGCTCCTGTTCACGAGGGTCACTGCGTTGTTTATAAATGGTTCCTGTGCTGGTCAGAATGCTGCTTTCTAAGCCATTCTCTAGATGCTTCCACTACTTTGTCATGGGGTGGCTAATTCATCTTTACAATGCCTTGACTTATTAAAAGTCACAACTTATCGCAACTGCTGAACAATAAAATAAACTGATTTTCTTCAAGCATAAATTGGCTTTTTTTGCAGAGAATAGAGAGAGTTCCTGGTGGTCAAACGTCTCCTCCGTATCTTGTTCACAGCCCTAAGCTACTCAGCTACATAAAAAACCAGTTATTTAATTGTTAATGGGCAGAAGACCTCTCCACACGTAACTGGTTACTAGTCCACAATCCAATCTATTACTTGTTGCCAAACAAAGCTCAGTCTGTCCACAAGTCTTCTGCTCCAGTTCTTCTGTAACCCTATCCCACCACCACTTAAACAAGCAACTATGTAAACAGTATTTGCAATGAGTGGAGTTATTTTCTTTCAAAAACATGCAGCAATCCTTGTAATCCATTGTTTTAAAACATTTTTTTTTCCTCATTTCAGTGCACAATTAAAAAACACAAATAAAAAGACGCAGTCTTTACGGTGACTGTGACATGATGTTGTCTGCAGTGTTGGTCAGTCTTCAATTCAACAGCTGATTGGGTTGATGTAGGTCATTTCTTGTATTAGAACTTTTCTTTTCATAGTCTTCAAGTTTTGTCTTTTTCACTTAGAGATCTAGTTGGTGAAAGTTGCTCCTTGTTTTCAAGCTTCTGGCACTCAAAGGTCAGTAGCTACAATCCATAGAAAGAATTGTTTTTATGTACAAAATCGGTTTATGGCCCCATTATTTCAGCACTTCCAAAGAGATCATTTTTACTGACACCACTTGCAAGTGCACAAGCGTTGGCCATCTTGGCTTTGGCAACACACACACACACACACACACACACACACACACACACACACACTTTCAGAAAATTCCTGTAACCCATCCACATTGTTAAACATTTCCTGTATCCCCAACGTATTCTAAAAAAGTATCCAATAATTTATTAGTTTTTTGTAAAGTGTGGCACAAGTAATTAAGGGCTAACTTATTTTTGTCTCACAAGAAACATCGACATTAAAGTTTTGTTTGAATTTATAGCTTTATTTTGAAGCTATAAAGTAGACACTGCATAAACAACTGTTTGTTACAAATATAACGGCGAAATTGGTTGCCCGAATGTGAAAATTCACAAAGCACTAAAATGCTGATTTGTATGCAACACATTGCCTGAATATTGAATGTGTCTTCAGTCAGAATGAATTTTAATCAGGTATTTACTTTTACATAAGAGGTCAGATGTGTAATTGTGATATGAATTGACTGCAGATATGCCTGTCTCATTAAAACAAATATAGAAGGAAAGGGATTCGTGCATTACAAACATTTGGCTCTTCCCAGTAAAGTTTTAACATGAATAAATTGAATAGGTTAGATGGCTCACCATTTTTAAAAAGAAAACCATGTGCAGTGATAATATTAATCAGACAATAGCGTGGCTCTGAAAACCCCATTATAAAGACAGCAGGCACCAAAATGTGTGAAGAGAAATGTAAAAATTTTAATTGTTAGCTGGTTGCATAGTAAATAAACCAACCCACTCAAAATCAGCCGAGGACTATTAATTTGTTAGAAAGTAATTTGCATCCAGCTGAAAAATGGAAAGCCGCAACAACTAAAAATTACGTAAACTCTTTCTGTAATATTTACTGGTTGCTAAGGGGACATAGAGGAGAAAATCAACATTAATATAGAACTCTGTTTCAAGGTTGCTCTTGAACAACCAGTACCTTCAAACAATTTTCATAAATTGAAAAAATATCATCTGTTTGGATTTTTGTATTTTTTGAGAATCAAAAATTGCAGCACAAAAAGGAAATAATTTTACATTTTACCTGGTTACTGCAATATCAAATTGATTTTTTTTAACCTTTTAAACCTACACTCTGCACAATGTCTTTATTTCAGCTCTCAGATTACACCTTGATAAAATGCTCTTTCCTATAATCCACCCAGAATACAAAACATTTTCTGTATTCCTCGTTATTCCAAAAAAGGTTTTCTAGAACCTTTTAGTTTAATTTTTGGAAGTGTAGCACAAAGTAATTAAGAGATGACGTATTTTCATGTTACATTAAAAATATAATTTGTCCACATTTTTGAGAAGAAAATATTCACAGCACATCACAGCGTTACTTTTCCCCCAAATCTTCCTTATCCTTTCCAGTTCTTACACAGAAAATTGCACTTTAATCTCAGTCTAAAAGAATGGATACCCTAGCTGCGAGATATCACCATGGACACCATCCTTTTAACTTCTTGCTATTTGTTCAAGTGAACAATATAGGAAGCTATTCAGTTAAAGCCATGAGTAATGTTAAACCAGGCACTATACTACTTAATAGATTCTTGCAATCTAGGAGTTGGCCTTGATAAACAGAATACTGGCCTGGGCTGGATTTTAATCTAAGTTCTAGAAGCACAAAAAATTCATGTTGAACTCTTTCAATGGAGAAACTGATAAAATGGCAGGGTTTCACAGCTTTTCTACCAGGGAGTCTTGAATCGTAATTAAAATCCCAGTTCCTTGTTTGAGCAGATATAGCTGACCTTAGTCAAAGGGCAATAAGAACCTTCAAACAAATTTGGCATCTGAAGGATATTCAGACAGAGTCTCCCCTGTTCCTGAATACCATTGAATGATCCCCTGCCATGCTGGAACATCTGTGAGGGCATCAAATATCAGCAGTTTCTTTTAAATCGTGGGGAAGTGCTGCACAGCATGTCAGGGTTTATGAACAATGCCATTCAAAAACAAACCTCAGCCAAATGTCAACATTTCTGAATATTCATTGAAGCCTATTATTTGAGATAAGTTAGCACTTATATGGGCAGGAGAAAAAAAACAAGTCAACAGTAAATGGTTTCCAAGTTAGTATTCATGAAAAGCCAGTTAGATTGGCATAAATCTCATTCTGTATGCCAAAGGAAGAATTGCAATCAATTTAGAAAATAAATCACAAGAACACCATTTCAAGTACTTAACACTCAAAAGTAATTTTGCTTATAGGGAATTATATAAATTTGAATAATTAACTGAACTAAATAAGTTGAAGCATACTGTGGTACTCAGCAGCTTTCAAGCTGTAACCCAGTAAGCTTACACTACAACAAATATACACGTTATTAATCATCGTCTCCAACCATGATAAAGGCACCAAGTCTAAGACAGTTATGCTGTGCCAAATATTGTTAAATAATTTGGAAGGAGGCAACTAGATTAATTTTTATTTGTAAAATCTTCCAAACTTTTTTTTATAGACAATTACAGAATTTGAAAACCAGAAGAAATGACTTCTGAGCTTTTGAAGATAAAAACATTTTTTTTTGAAGGACAATTTTGAAATGGAGTACTAATTAACACAGTAGTCACCTTTAACAAAACTGACAAAACAATGAATTGTATAAAGTATCAAGGCGTTTTTTTTAAAAAAGGTTCCCTTTGATAGATAACTGCATTGTTCTGTGTGGTAGCGGACCACATAAACTAGTAGATCCCGTCTTTAATGTTACTCATTTCAGCTGGGACAATAGCTGATTGTTACAATGGACTGTGCCCATACCCTGCTCTGGATCAGGAGCCCAAACTACAAAATGAGAAAATAAAACAAAGAACTGTGATGCTAAGGATCAGAAAAAAACAAAAACGGAAGAAACTGCTGTCGAAACTCAGCAGGCCTGGTAGCATCTGACGAGAGAAAACAGAGTTAATGTTTCGGGTCCAGTGTCTCTTCTACATAAACCAAATGAGAAAAGATTAGGCCCTGGTTATGATCAAGTAAATCTGTTCAAACTTCTCAGAATCACAAGGGAGATACAGCACTATTGTTGATTCAGCACAAATATTCTGTACTCTTTTGTTTTAGACACCACATTAGTCTCTTATCTTTCCTACTACCTCACTTGTCCTTTGGCACATTTTTCTATTCCTTTTCCTCTCGTGAACTTATCCAGTTTCCTTCTAAAGCACCCAAGCAATTTGCCTCAATCAGTATACAGTAGCAAGTATCACATTCCAATTACTCGCTGAAAAAATTGCATTTACCCTCATTTCCCTATTGGATTTATTAGTAACTAACTTCTGTTATAGCATAAAACCAACGTACTAAGGATGTGGGAGATCTGAAGTAAAAACACAAGATAGTGGAAAAACTCAGCTGATCTCCAGAAGAAGAGTCAAAATATTAACTGCTGTTTGTTAGGAATGTAGAATAGTAAAATGGCTAATTGATATGTGTTGGTTCTTTACTGTAATATAATGTAGCTAACATTTAAAACAGATTTTTGTTTGAAAAATGTTGCAGGAAAGTGAGCTTTCTTTGGAAAAGCGTAAGTAATGTTTGAGGACATTATGTAAGATGTTGCGACAGTTTTCCTGTTTCTCATCTGTAGTGAGCATAATTTAAAATACAAAGCTGAAAAAATGTATTAGCATTTTGTTTTAAATAATTACAACCGTTAATGTTTAAATAGTTAATTAATATAATTTTAATAGTTTAAACGGGCACATTTTTAAAATAACAACATTTCCATCCCTATTCTTTCTCTCTCCAAAGATACTGCTAGACAGGTTGAATATCCCCAGTACCTTCTATTATAGTTTACAGCCCCTTACTTTAGGTCATTCAATATGTGGAAACATTTTCTTGAGTCAAAACTGCTGAATTCTATGATAACTTTGTGGACCCCACTAAGGTTAGCTGTAAGACTTCTCTTTGCTACAAGATGTCTCAACCTATTCAAATTTGATGCACTTGCAGAAGCCAATGGAAGGTAACTATCACTTATGCAACTAATACCCCCAGCTGTTGGGAATAGAAGGAAGAGGGGAGAACAAGAAAACTTTTTTTTTGTCTGCGTGCAGTTTTCAAGTTCTTGCAGCTATTTCATCAAGCTGACCAGATAAATATAAATTTTGGCTTTCTGCATATGCTCTCAGACATTCTGTAATATGTAATACATACATAAAATAACTTCAACAAGTTACATAAATGATGCATTTACATTCATTCTTAACTATTTAGATGGTTTAAAAGACATTGAGCTGTTTTGGATAGTACTTGCCTGCATACTTGTTGGCTTGGTTCAAGAGTTCAGTGCAGGCATGCATATCAGCAAAAGCTCGAATCCCTAAACAATTAGAAGGATGAAGCTGTGACTCCAGGAAATCACAACAGGTCTTTCGCACATCCTGTAACTGCAGTAATCCTGCTGCTGGAAGTAATACCTGTTAATGAATGGCAACACATTTCAATCTGTGACAAGGCATCAACATCTGAACAATAAAAGTTACTGCACATTTTGACAAGAAGACATCAGATGCTAAGAATCCCATAATTAGATGGTACAAATACAAATTAAAAATGTAAACTAGACATTTCTTGCTTGTTTGTATTATAGGAATATAGGAACATCAGAATTATTAGTAGGAGAAGGCAATTCAGCCCTGCAAGCCTGCTCTGCCATTTAACATGGTCACGGCTGATCTTATCCTGGTCTCAACTCCACTCTTTAGCCTGCTCCCCATTGCCCTTCATCCCACTTTTCATTAGAAATGTATGCATTTCTTTCTTCCATCAATCGAGCGATTCTGCATCCACTGCACTCTGAGGCAGGGAGTTCCACTGATTCACAACCCTCAGAGAGAAGTAGTTTCCCTTCATCTCAATTTTTAACCTACCTCCTCTCACTCTGTATCTCTGATTATTTGTTCGAGACTATCCCAAAGGGGGTAAAGATCTGTTCAACATCCCCTTTATCAATCTTTATCAACTGGATGCAATACTCCAGGTGTGGTCTCAGCAATGCCTTATATAATTGTAACAACACTTCCTCACTTTTATAATTCAGTCCTTTTGCAATTAATGCCAGGATTCCATTTGCCCTCCTGATAGTATGCTGTACTTGCATGTCTTCTTTCTGTGATTCATGCACAAAGAGGCCCAGATCCCTCTGCACTGACACAGTTTGAATCTGCTTCCCATTTAAATAATAATTTTCCCTTTCATTTTTCCAGCCAAAATGGGCCAACCTCGCACTTATCCACATTAAACTCCATCTGCAAGATTCTACCCCATACTCCCAGCCTATCAATATTCATCTCTTCATCACTGCCTGCTTTCCCACCTATTTTAGTGTCATCTGCAAATTTTGCTATGTTACATTCCATTCTTGCTTGTAGATCATTTACACAGATTGTAAGTAGTTGAGGTCCGAGAATTGAACACTGTGGCACCCTGCTAGTTATAGTTCACCATCCAGAAAAGGACAGATTTATCCCAATCGTCTGCTTTCTGTCAGTCAGCTAATCCTCTATCCAAGCCAATACTCTCTTATGCAGCACCTTGTCAAATGCCTTGTGGAAGTCTAGATGTACCACATCCACTGTATCTCCGTTATCCACCTCGCTGGTTACACCTTCAAAGAACTCCAGCAAATCTGTCAAACACGACGTGCCTTTCATGAAACCGTGCAGGCACTGGTGAGTTGAGCTTTGTATTTCCATGCGTTCAATTATTTCCTTCTTTACGATTGACTCCCGCCACCTTCCCCACTACAGAGGTCAAACTAACTAGTCTATAGTTTCCCATAGTTGAATATAGGCGTTGCATTAGCATGTTTCCAATCAACTGGTACCTCTCCAGAATCCAGGGAATTTTGGAATACCATAAGTAGTGCATCCACTGTCTCT